GACTCCTGAAACCCGTCCCATCTGACGACAGTGAACCGATCTGCCATTGATCGATGCTGCCTGGGGGTCATGCTGGCTCTCTCTTCTTCTATTGCTGCCTCTTCTCTCTAATCCCCATATTCCCCACGAGGAGGAGGAAGATCAGGATCTTAGATCTCCTCCTCTCCCCACATCTCCCCCACTCAGAGCAGGTTTGGAAATGGCTGGGCCCCTCTTCTCCTGTAGTGTCTGATTGTTCAGCCTTGCTTAATGACCAAACTGAAGCCCCTGGATGCTTTCTGTCGTAGCTAAGATTTGGCATCCCCTATGATGTAGGGAATAAAACTGATCCACCATGATTCAATGGCTGGTGTTTTTCTTCCCTCAGTTCCTCCGTCCCTCTTTTCTCTGTTGTTGAATACTTCATAGATTTCAAGGCAATTGTGCTCATCTTTGCTGAGCTGTGAGACGCAGGCCATGGAATTTCATCCAACCCATATCTGGCAGTTGAGCTAGAGCATAACTTTTATTTCAGACAGATATCCAGTCTTGATTTAATGACTCTTAAGTAATAGCAAATCCACATATTTCCTCTGTACTCAGTTACTGACCTATATAGGAAAAGGGCAGTATCCCTTTAAATATCTCAAGCCCTCCGGGAATGCCAATAGTTTTCTAGGAGTTAGAAGCAGTCAGAGCAGGGGTCTATACAGATCTAGGCTTAACCTGAGAACAGATGTAATCAGAGAACAGGGCTAAGCCAGGAATTCTGATCCCAGCTGCCTCGCACTATGGGGAAGATGAATAAGGTCTAAAAACCCAGTGGGCTGAACAGACACGTGGCAATAGGCAGCTTTGTGGGTCTGGTGGACGGACAGCACGAGCTGGATCGATCTCGAGTTGTGATAGATAAATGCCTGGTTCCCAAGGTAAGGGCTGTGCTGGCCTGACCTGAACGGTGACCTGATTTGGACTGAGCCAAACTGCTTGGAGCTGAACTGACATTTACATCTGGGCCCCAGGGTGGGGGACCAGGCTGGCTCAGTGGGGAACATGGGGGGGCCTTTCCCTCCTAGAGGCACCCTCTCTGATGTGGCCTGAAGGTGGGGGAGTCGCTGGCTCAGGGGAGGGGATGAGGTTCAGGGTGGAGTGGGAGGAGCAGACAGCAGAGGCAGGACCCTGAATATTGGCCAAGGGCTAACAGTGTGCTCCGGCTCTAAGAGCCATTCTGGGCTAGGTGCAGGAATGGCTGGGAGGATGCTCTCAACTGTTCGGCAGGAGGCTGGATATGACTGGAAACTCTTTGGGGCAGGCACCAGCTTTGTTCTGTGTCTGCATAGGTCCTAGCGGACAGGGTCCTGGTCCCTGCCTGGGGCTGGTGGGTGCTGTCGCCCCCTAAATGCTAATAATGGTTCCTTCTGCCCTTACAATCCATAACACTGCCAGAGGCTTGGCTAAAGAGCAGAAATAAAATGAGCCCAAACACCATCTACTGGCTGCTTTGGGTTACTCTAAAATCTGCAGGGTCTCCCTCAGTTGCAAAGAAAATTCATATCCTGTGCCTCAGATGTGACCCGTGTGTAGTGCATAGGAATAGGGTGGGATCCATTTAAATAGCAGCTGAGCCCACTACCAGTGCTCACTGTGTCCTGTGAGTGACAAGCTGCTGCAACATCTCCACCCCACCCCCTGAGCTGCAGTGGGTACGTAGCTAGGTCTGGCACGTTGTGCACGTTAATAAAATAATGAGCCCTGGATGTAATAAAGTGGTCATGATAGAGTTAATTGGGTTACCCAGAGTATTCTGGGATGGAACGGTGCTCCACCCCTCCCTTACTTCTTGCTTTAGCTGCTGGTGGTGGGGAGTTTCCCCCCAACTCTGTTGTGATGCCCTTGAGTAAAGCAGCAGGTCCCAGCCTGCAGCACTGGGAGTAAACAGTGGTCCTGTGGGTGTGTTTTATTTTAAGACTTTCCAGCAAATCAAAAACTCTCTTATTTGTCCTGATCTGTTGGGGGCTTGTACTGTGTCAAGGGCAACAGCACTCTGGGTCCATTTTTTTTTAATGTATAAACAAAACTACCCCCAGAATAGACTTGACTCATATCTCACATTTCTTCTGCAAATGAAAACATCCCTACAGAGCCCTGATTGTTTGGGAACTGCTCAGGTCAAAGAGGCAACAATCTGTGAATAATTTGTAGCATCGGGTGATGGTGGGAGATTGTGGCTTTTTCCTTCACCCCCAGGGGCCTGGCTGGTACAAGGCAAACAGCTCCCAACGTGGCTTGGGGAAGATTTCCATGTTGCAATGATCCTGCTGTGATAGCACCTTTCTAGAGCTCGCCACCTTGGGCTGACAGCCCTGAGGGGTGGACTTTGGCTCTGTGGGAGTCGTGTTATTTACAATGTGCTCTGAGTTATATAACACAGTGCACTTTCCCACCTGTGGACCTCACAGCAATGGTACCTATGGTTAATCATAGAACTGGAAGGGACCTCGAGAGGTCATCTAGTCCAGTCCCCTGCACTCAAGGCAGGGCTAAGTATTGTCTAGACCATCCCTGACAGGTGTTTGTCCAACCTGCTAGTAAAAATCCCCAATGATGGAGATTAAAGAACCTCCCTAGGCAATTTATTTCAGTGCTTAACCACTCTGACAGGAAGTTTTTCCCAATGTCCAACCTACACCGCCCTTGCTGCAATTTAAGCCCATTGCTTCTTGTCCTATCCTCAGAGGTTAAGAAGAACAATTTTTCTCTCTTCTCCTTGTAACAACCTTTTATGTACTTGAAAACTGTTATCATGGCCCCTCTCAGTCTTCTCCTAAACAAACCCAATTTTTTCAATCTTCCCTCATAGGTCATGTTTTCTAGACCTTTAATAGTTTTTGTTGCTCTTCTCTGGACTTTCTCCAATGCGGGGGCAAATGGGAAGGGAAGCTGGGAGTCCTGCCTTCTAATTCCCTTTTCTTACCAGTAGACCCCATCCTCTCTTAGATTCAGGAATCTAACCCATGAGTCCGGATTCCCAGCTTCTCCACTCTAACCACCAGATCCCACGCCCTTGCTAAGCCCAGGGATGGAACCCAGGTGTCCTGGCCCCAAATTCCTGCTTGCATCCACTAGACCCCCCCCCACCTCCTATTCTGAAATAAAACCCAAGAGTTCTGACTCTCAGCTTCCCTGCTCTAACCATTGGATGCCACTTCTCTCCTAGATCCAAGCAGAGAACCCAGGAGTCCTGGCTCCCGATCATGTGGCCTGTTCTGAGGAGCATTCTGGCTCCTTGGGACCCATGGCTCAGTGTCTGTGGGATCTCAGATGGACAGTGGTGATGGCCCAGTGCCACCCCACCCCTCAGCCATGCTGCCCCATCCCTCTAACCTAGTTCATGGCAGAAGGGGCCATGTCTGGGGTGGCAATGAAAGCAGGCTCAGGTGCTGTGGTGGGGTTTCAGGGTTTATTAGCGCAGGGCATGCAGCACATCAGGTTACAAGGACCGTTCATACAATGCTGAAAACATGGCAACCCTTCATTCCACCAGGGCCACAGACTGCTGGGGCACTCAGCGTGGTGCTTTGTCCCCCTCTAGTGGCGGCTGGGCCCCATACACAGGTTGAGGAACCTGGCAGAGCCCTGGCTTTTAGCTCAGGCAGGAGAGGCTTTTGCATTTAGATCCAGAGGGCACTGGTTTGGTCCCTGTTGCTGAAGACCTGCCAGGGAGCGACTTGTATCCCCCCCACTAGCGAGAGCACTTGACCCCCAAGGCTCCCAAGTGTGTGGGCCTGGGGATGGGGTGGCCAGACAGGTTCCAGAATCACTACTTTGCCTGCCATCAGGCACCCTTTGCCCTGTCTGCACTGGGCAGGGCTTCTCTGGGCCTGGCACTGCCCACTGCCTGCTGTGGGTGTGGCATCCTCTGGGGCTGGCACTGCTCCCCTCCCCCAGCACCCTCCGGCTTTCCAAGGGAACCCCAGACGCTCCTTTCACAGGCATGTCTGGCTCTGCCCAGCAGTAGCCAGTTTGATGCCCCTGTGCCTGGGATGTACCCACACTGGGAAGGGGGGCTACTAAGGAGTCCCTGTGGCTCTGCCTAGTGAAAAATCAACCCCCCTGAAAAATCACTTGGTTCCCTTCCCCTCCCACCCCCCAGCAGGAGACAGTCTGAGTCCCTTAGCGCCATGCTCCTGGGTTGGATTGCTGTGTTAGGGCAGGTTAATGAGGGTGGGATTAATAATGGGAGTCCCTGTGACTCGGAGACTATTTACAGTGTGGCCAGCACACCCCGTCCCCTCCGCCCCCGTGGTTGCCGACATGCAGGGAAACGCTGCCTGGGCATTACAGCTCTGGCTAAGTGAGCAGCAGCAAGGGCTGGGGAGTAGCACCGATGGTTACGGGTTTGGATGGAGGCCTAGCGGGAGAAACTTAGTCGGAGCTGAGATTTCTGTTCCCAGGTTACCAGCGAGGGGGCCAGGCTGGGAACTTGTACCCCAGCCATCCTGCACCATGGGAGAGAAACTTAGAGAGACAGGTATGTATGAAGGTAAGGAGGAGGATGCATGTGCAGGTAGATAGAGATGTATTGATAGATAGAGAGAGGTGTATGGGGATGGATGGATAGATAGACCTATGTAGGGATAGGCAAACGGAATGGGTGTCTATGGGGATGGATAGGTGTATAGTGGGATAGATAGAGGGGCATGTATGGATAAATAGGTTGTATATGGGGATAGACAGATGGGTGTCTGTGGGGATGGATGAATGGATAGGTGTATATGGGGATAGCCAGAGGGGTGTCTATGGGGATGGATGGCTAGACAGGTGTATTTGGGGATAGACAGATGGGTGCCTGTGGGGATGGATGAATGGATAGGTATCTGTGGGGATGGATGGCTAGACAGGTGTATATGGGGGTAGATAGAGGAGTGTCTATGGGGATGGATGGCTAGACAGGTGTATATGGGGATAGACAGATCAGTGTCTGTGGGGATGGATAGGTGTCTGTGGGGATGGATGGATGGATGGATGGATAGCTAAGTGTATATGAGGGCAGACAGAGAGGTGTATATGGGGATGGACAGATGATGGATCAGTGTTGGGGGACAGATCGATTGATCTGTATCCGGATGGGTGGCCCAGGCCCATCTCCAGTCGTTATAAAAAAGCACCCTGTCCCCAATGCAGCCAGATCAGTGGCTGACGCTGCTCTAGGAAGTTCATGTCTCTGGGGGTGGCCCAGCCACCCAGAGTCATTGTTTCTTCTTCTGGTTCCTCAACATGTTCTCACCGCAAGGGGGCGGCCTCGGAGGGGGGAGCTGGGCGGCTCAGTGTCACGCTGTATAGGTTAGCCACAAAGGTCTCCCAGCCTCTGCGGAGGGCTCGGTCCACCTGCTGGAGGGTAGAGAACAGGGTGAAAGGCCAAGGAAGGGTGTGCTCTGATAGGACCCCTCCATGATTTGCCTCCCGCCCCAAGGCAGGCACAAAGGCCATGACAGCAGGTATCAGGTGGGGCTGGCCTAGGGGCTGCTCCCCGGAAGCTGGGGACAAAGTCACAGCTGGGGTTCCAGCAGGCTGTAGGCCAAGATTCCCCCTGGCTGAGCTGAGAATTGCTTCTATGAAGACAGGCTGGGGGAAGCGGTGCCCACCAAGCCAGGGGACTGGCTGGCTCAGGGTGTTGGGAACGGGGACGCTGGCTCCCATCTGACCCCAGGGCAGGGGGACTGGCTGGCGCAGGGGGTGGGATACAGGACCTTCCCCTCTAGGGAAAGGCTCCAATCCAGCCTGTCACAGGGTGCTAGGCCCCTTTAAGAGGGAATGAGCACAGTCCCCTGTGACTAATTAGATGCTTCCCAGCAGGGACTGTTTAGCAGCTCACCTAATTCCACCTGGGGCCATTTCAGTTAGTGATCAGTCCCAGCTGAGGAGGGGCTGGGAGCTTCTCATAAAATGCTCTCTGCAGGCCCAACTTAGGTTAGCTGAGGGCTGTGGTTGCTAGAATCTCTAGATGAGGGATGCAGGGGATAAACTTCTGGGTGATTGCTGGCAGGGGGCACAGAGATGTGCTGCTGAGAAATGAAAGGCTCAGTGGACTGGCCCAGGAGGCTGCTGTCCTGGCTAAGGGACAGGATCCATGGGAAATCCAAGGTGGGATTACAGAGAGGAGCCCAGTGGGGTGGACACTAAATACCTGGGACTGGTGAGTAAGCCCACAACTAGGACGTTTGGGGGGAACCCTGGGGAATCTGTGGGGCCTGTGAGATGGGAGAAGGATCTGGCTGGATGGTGAAGGATGAGAGTCCTGGGAAAACCTATAAATAGACATCTGGACCTATATTTAAAACTATGGTGGGGTGGATCTAGTGCTTGTATGTAACTAAAGGAACCCTCAGCAAAGGTAGCTTGTTACTGCAAGTGTCTGGTGTGTGATTGGCAAGACCTGGCTGTGAGGGGGCCTTGACCTTTTATGTGCCTGAAGGGGGAGCAGGTTTGGGTCTGAGGCATGGTGAAGGGTCTGTGGCCCTTTTCCCCTCTAGGGGGTGCTCAGCCCATCAGAAGTTGGGTTACAGCAGGGGTCGGCAACCTTTCAGAGGTGGTGTGCCGAGTCTTCATTTATTCACTCTGATTTAAGGTTTCACGTGCCTGTGATACATTTTAACATTTTTAGAAGGTCTTTCTAGAAGTCTATAATATATAACTAAATTATTGTTGTATGTAAAGTAAATAAGGCTTTTAAAATGTTTAAGAAGCTTCATTTAAAATTAAATTAAAATGCAGAGTCCCCCGGACCGGTGGCCAGGACCCAGGCAGTGTGAGTGCCACTGAAAATCAGCTCAAGTGCTGCCTTTGGCATGTGTGCCATAAGTTGCCTACCCTGGGTTACAGCCTGAGCTTTCTGCCCTGTTATAATCCCAAATGTCCCATGAGCAGAGGCTGATCCCTAAGCTATTGCCCATCTTGAGGCTGATGGGGGGGGGCCCGGCTCCCTGGGGTGTTGCAATAACTAAGCTATTAAATTTCCAAAAGGCCTAGATGCCATGGGTACTGGGACTGTAACTGCCTCAGGGCAGTGACTGCTGCTTGGTTCTAGTTTAGTGTGGCTTTTGGGGCCAATGGGACCCTGGTCTGTAGGTGCTACCCCAATACAGCTAGTGAGGGGTGTGTGAGAGAGATGAGGGGGGGGGAGGCGAAGAATTCCTAGGCACTAATGTGAGCAAAACACTCCCTAATAAGAACCAGGAGGTTTATGCACTATGTGAGATCTTAGGGTGCTCTATCTTGTAAATCCCTGTTCAAAGAGACCATAGCTGTAGTGCTAATTCTAGCCAAGGCCCCCATGAGGCATGGCAGTTTTGCAAGACCATTTGAGTCAGCTGATCTATTTTTGAGGACTTACAAAAACCATATGTTAAGCAGAAAGCAAGTCTCAACTTGAACTATAGCGGGCTGCATTCTGATAAGGGAGGGTTCTGTTACAGATGCTTGGGAGCTAGTCAACAAAACATTCTTGGCCAAAAAATGCTGATTAGTTGAAATCAACCCGGTTTGTGAAAAGGGTCAGTTTGATTAATTTCCTGGCTTGATAAAACATTGGGGGAGGAGGGGCCTGGAATGTCCTGTCTTGATATTTGTTAAACAAACATCTGATATTTTGCTTTGAAGCTATTTTTTGTTTGAAATTTAACTTCATTTAGACTTTAATACTGAAATGTTTTGTTTCAATGGATCTGACTCAAAACTGTTTTCAGTTGGGTTCACCAACATTCTGGTGTGTGTTTGGGGGTGGGGAAGAGCTTTTGAAATCTCAAATTGTCATAGGATGGGACAACCATTTCCTACCCGGTCCTGCTTAGAAGGCTATTTTTCTTTCCTTCTTCCTCCCCATCCCCTAAAGTGGGACAAATTCTCCCCACTTCCAAAGGCTTAACAGCACCCCACCACTGTCTGGCTTGTGGGGGCAGGGAGTGGGATGTGGGGCCTTTCCCCTCTAGCAGGTGCTGGCTTCCATTCAGGGAGGGAAGCTGGCTGGGGAGGAGGGGGAGGAATAGACCTTCTCCTCTAGGGGGTGCTGGCTCTGATCTGGCCCCAGAGTGGGGGGAGACTATCTCACACCACCATTACCTGGGGGCCTCTCAACCCTTAGTGAAGCTATTTTCACAACAATGCTAGCAAGGCGGTGCAAGGCTACTGTCTTCTGCGTCTGACTCAGTTTCCCCTACTGTAAAATTAAAACTTGTCTAAGTTGGGTCGTGGACCAGGGAATTTACTGCAGTCTGAGTTGCAGGCTAACACCCAGAGCACTGGGTCATTTTCCCCCTCCATGGATAAAGGGTTAACAGAGGTCTAAATAATTGGTTAGAGCCTGACAGATCAAAAGGCTTATAACAATGTATAATGCCCTCTCCTGGCAGGGTTTATAACTTCATGCCTGTTACACACTTGCATCATCAGCTGCCATGTATTCACTCTTTAGAAACCGAACCCCAGTATAAGCCATTAGCAGCCTTCCATGGCGTGGGGGCCTGCAGATTCCTCTGCCACCAAGCATGAGAGGGCAGTAAAAATTTTAGCCCCCCTTGAGGTGAGGGGTAGAAAATAGCACTGCTGGAGATGGGAGGGGAGGGGAGGGTCTGGCAGGGAGGGGGGTAGTAACTTCTCCTGTGTGTGTGTTGGGGGGGAGGGGGGAAATGCCACTGATAGAAGAGTGGAGCTGGGGGTTGGTAAAGGCAGAAAGGGTAATGACCTCACTGGATCAGAGGGGTTGGGATAGGATATTGGAGAGGGGTACAGGGGGTAATGGGGTTGGGGGGGGGAAGGGGCAGACAAGGCCACCAGTGGAGAAGATTGGAAGGAGGGGTATCTGAGGGAATGGAAACCCCCAAGGGCTGCTGGGAAAAATCTAGGCTGGGATGGGGTTGGTGGGAAGGCCAGGAAAACATTGGGGGCTCCCATCAGTGCACCCCCAAACCCATCCCATGTCACCCCCTGGGTTTCCAAGCTGTTACCTTCTTGCACTGCTTCATCCTGTGAGAGCCCTTGCTCTGAGCCTCGCCGATCAGCAGCTCCCCATCATCGGGGCTTAGTGAGTGGGGCATCTCCCCTGGGGTGGGGGTCCTCTCAGCTGGGGACTCTTCCACCCCACTCTTCCACCCCCTCATGCTCACAGCTCTCCTCTTTGCCCTCTGCTTAGCCTTGTCCGAGCTATCGGTCTTGTCCTCCAGGTGGCCATAGGTAGAATCCAGGAGGCTGGGGGATTTGGGGGTGCGGAGGGAGTATGCTCTCCGGAAGCTCCTGCCATGGGCCATCTCTGGAGTGGGGGTGGCCTGATCTGGAGCTGGCACCGAGTCTGATCCTGTCCCTGCTGACCCGCAGAGGCCAGATGCTCCTGTCCTGGCCAGATTCCCAAAGGCAAGTGGCTCTAGCTTCCCTTTTTTGCTCTGGCTGATTCACCCGTTGGGGTGGGTGTGGCACCTGTGGGTGCCACCCCATCCAATCAGGCCTCTTATGGAAATTCCCCTTTCCCCTCCAGTCCCATGGGCCAAAGGTCCCTGCTCTGGCTGCCTTATCACGAAGTTCTCTTCTCTTCCCTCCCCCCTGCAAATCTCAGCCCATGAGGTCAAAGGTAGATGCTGCTACTCATCAAAAGTCCCTCCACGTTGCCCTGTGGGGTCAAACGTTGCTGCTGTAGCAGCATAGTCAATGAAGGTCCAATGGGCAGAGAACAGGAACCTTGTTAGCAGCTTAGAGCCCCCGGCCTGGATCCTGATGCCTTATCGCTGCAGCTGGCTGGTCTGGCAAGATCTGGGCAGTGCCTGGCATGTGGGGTCCTGGGTGCCACCCCAGTGACCTTGGGCAAGTCATGTCCCCTCAGTGCCTTGGCTTCCCCGTCTGTCACATAGGGGTAATTATACTGACAGCCTCAGTAAAGTGCTTTGAAAGCGCTGGGTAAGAGCTAGGTGCTATAATCAGACTCTGCCTGGGCTAGGAAGAAAACTGGAGTCCAGAACCAAACCTCCCCTCAAAACTTTCAGGCTCCTACCCTCCCAGATTAACCCTTTGTTTGAGTGCTTAAAGTTTGGTGCAGGGAGGCTCAGAGCAGCTGTTGCTGGGGCTGACTGCTCCTGAGGGAGGGACATGAAGCAAAATGGGGAAACTGAAGCTACAGGGTAAGGGGCATCTAGTGGGCTGTGTAACTGGAGAGCCTCGTCTCTCCCAGTTCCAACATCTCTTAGCCCTGGTTTCCTATCTGCTGCTCTCAAATCCCAATCTCTCCCAGTTCCTCCTGAGGGAAGGGTGAGGGGGGAGCTCAGCATTTCAGCAGGTAAATATTAGAGCCCCGGGGGATGCTGCTGCACCCCTGGGAAGAGAACTAGCCTGAAGGGGATGCTCCTTCCCCTCTGGGAGCAGGGAGAAATGGGCACCAGGGCAACTCCAGGCTGGGGGAGGGGGAGCCGGGTGCCTAAAGGAAGCTGGTTGTGTAACACTGACTGTGAGTCTAGCCTATGAGAGGCTGGTGAGGGGGGAGAGACTGGGGGCCTGGTGACTGTGTGGGGTGGGGCTGGTCCTTTGACACAGACCCAGCTGACTGTGAGCTCATGAGCCATGCGGACTAGCCTGTCACAGGATGCCTGTGGGGAATGGAGCATGAGCCTGCTCCCACCTGCCCAAACCACTTCCCTCTCTATCTGCTGGCAAAGCAGTTTGACTAGGGCCTGGGCTTCCACTGCACTAAGATCCTAGCTGCTCCCTGTATCCTATTGCTCTCATACCCCAGTCCTCAGCTGCTCCCAGCATCTCCCAGTCCAGCTGCTCCCCGGTACGTGACTGGCAAGACCCTTGTAAGCCCCTGCGGCTTCCCCCCAAACACACATCAGAGTCTATGGGCACATGCCCAGAGTTGTTTTAACAGCGACATGTTGCTAAAATCAGCAGCACGGAGGAAAAGCTCAAGAAGCTGCTACCCTTGCTTCCTGGCCCCCAGGGACAGCAGCAGCACAGTTGCCCCAAGGGCTAGGACACTAGGCTAGGACTCAGGACACATGGGTTCTATTCCCACCTCTGCCACTGACCTGCTGGGTGACCATGAGCAAGGCCTTTCCCTATGTTGCACCTGTTTCTCCTCCCACCCTTTGCCTATTTAGACTGAGCTCTGTGGGGCAGGGACTGTGAGTCTGTGCAGCACCTGGCATGATGGGGAGGGGGCCCTGATCCTGGCTGAGAGTCATGCAGCTCCCAGCATGACAGGGACCCCCGTTGCAGGTAGGGTCTGTACAGTACCTGGTCAACAAGGGCCTTGATCTCAGCTGGGGCTGTCTGTACAGTGCCTGTTATGATGCTGTAATATACAGCATCTACTAAGGATTAAATCTGCTCCAGTGCTTGCATCATTGGTGTAGCGGCAATGGAAACCAGTCTCTCTTGTTCACATCTAAGACTCATATAGTGGGATAACCGCTTGAGCCCTGAATAAATGGTCCCTCTGGGAAAGCAACTACCCCCCCTAAAGTGATTTGATGCAGCCCTGTCCCTACACTGCTGCTCCTTGTGTGTGACTCCTGAGTATTGTAAATTCAGTGGCAAATCAGATCTGCGATGGTGCTGAATAGGAGAGCAGCAGTGTGGAAAGGGAGCCCTGACCCACAGAGGCTGCTGGGGAGATCAGAGCTTCTCTTTCTGGTGTTTAACTGCAGTGACCTCTGGGGCTACGGTCCAGAAAGAGACCCTCAGTGGAAGGGGATGAGCTTGGCTCTATGTCCCTCTCCAAAATGCAGCATTATAAAGTGCACAGCACCCTCTACTGCTGCACTGGGGCATGGGCATCTGCACTGACTGCAATGGGAGTGTGTCCCTTGCTGAGCTCCCTGCCTCACAGCAACCCCTAGCACCATGCTGGGGTCAGCAGTCTCCCAAGGGTGAGTGTCCCTTGCTGAGCCCTGGTCCTCCATTTCCTGCGGTAGTAGGGTGTTCTGTATGCCTTGACCCCCATTAGCTTTGCAAGCCCTGATGAGCTCAACCTGCCTAAGGAGAGAGGACTGTGCTATGCTAATACCTTTCAGGGAGGATCTGTAAAAGCATGAACTACAGTGCTGCAGAAAATGGGCACAGAGTTGATGCACCTATTTGCACAGCTACAGTGCTCTCAGCAGGGCTTGCTCCCTGGGCTGATCCCCTCAGCGTCCCCTTTCTCTTTTCTACTTGCTGGTTCATTTCCATCACCCACTGCAGGTTTATGATGTGTGGAGGAGCAGCTACCAATAATGCCATCCCTTTGTCACCTCCCAGTCACCTTGCAGCAGAAGGGCTCATCAGCAGGGACTTGATCCTAAGGACACCTATGTGTGTATGAGAGAGAGAGAGAGAGTGAGGTGGTTTTTTTGGGGGTGCTGGGACAGAGAAATGCGGCTGGATGGAATCAGAACAAGTCCTCTGTGCGGTATAAGCCCTACGCTAGGCACAGTGAAGGTGGATTCCCCAGGGCTCAGAGTTCTCCCCTGGCCTGATTATATGAGGGAGGTCCCTTTGGGTTCTCTTGCCTGCCTCCCAGGAGCCACTTCACCGTCCCCAGAGCGATGGGGCCCTGGCGTAGCGGCCTCGCAAGGCAGAGTTGCAACGTGGAAGGTGGGAAGCCCGGGTGGGCAGCTCAGGGTATGTAAAGGGGGCGGTGCTGGGGGCAGTCCAGCCCCTCCGCCTGATGCAGCCTGACGCCGCTCGCTGTTTGGTTATTACAGACCCTGGGGAGGGGGATTGTCCCGCCCCTCCCCTAAGGGGCACCCCAGCCAGTGTGCAGCCTCGGGCAGGGTCCCCCTGCAGCGCCCAGGCACTGTCCGCACACTCGTTCAGCACGCGCCTCACCTCCCCGGCCGCGGGCCCCACGCCCGCGTAGTGTTACGGTCACGTATTCCCTGGCTGAATGAGTCACTCGACCACGCCCACTATGTTGGGGCCCGCCCCTTCCTTCCTCCAACCAATCGCGGCAGAAGAGGTCTTAGTCGGACAGCCAATGTCCGTTCCTAGATGGGGGCGGGTTCACCATGGTACAGCCACGTCCCCCCTTTAGGCGGGGCTCTGGGACGCCGATTGACAATTGTATTGTCCAATAGAAAAAAGGAATGAGAGATGCTGGCCAATGCCACGCATCAGATCTCAGGGGCGGCCAATAGAGAGGTGGCCAAGTCATCGGGGGGGCGGGATGGCGCCAGGCTTGAACCGGTGAGTGACAGGTCTGCTCGGCCACAGATCGGGCTCTGGGGGCGCTACCGAGGGGAAATGGGGGTGTGGCAAAAGCGACCAATGGGAGGTGGCTTTCTAAAGGAACAGCCAATGAGAAGCCATGTGGGCGGGGCAGGGTGCGAGGGGGCGGAGGTGCCTGAGGAAGTTGCGGTGGCTGGTACCTGACAGCTGGGGAGCAAGCGGCTGACGCGCCGCGGGGTAAGAGGGACCCGCTGGGACAGGGCGGGCTGGGGCCCCGGCACCCCCATATGGACCACCCCCTCCCCCCGCATTGGCCAGGGCTGGACCCCTTCTCCCCCGTATGGACCAGCCCCTCCGCCCTGCATGGACCAGGGCTGGATCTTCCCCCTACACTCGTATGGACCAGCCCCTCCCACTTCATAGACCAGGGCTGGAGCCCCTCTCCCCTGTATGGACCAGTCCCCCGCATGCAGGGACCAGGACTGGACACCCCCTCCCCTTGCATATGAATCAGCCCTTACTCTCTCCATATGGACTATCCCTGCATATGGACTAGTTCCTTCCCCTATGGAGTGGGCTTTATTGCCTTGTATGGATCAGGGCTGCACCCCCAGAATTTGGACCAGCCCCTCCTCCCCTCCTGCATAGACGAGGGATGAACTCTCTCCATCCCCTGTATTGACCAGGACTGGGCTCCCTCCCGTATGAACCAGCTCCTGCTCCTTCCTGATGGACCAAGTTGTATGGTCCCATATGGACCAGGGCTAAGTCTCTCCTCACTGTATATTCCAGTTGCTCCCCATCCTGTATACACTGGGCTTTATTGCACGGTATGGGCCAGCTCCTCCCTCCCTTCCCCATATGGATTAGGCTGTATCCCCTCATATGCACCAGTGTTGGATTCTCCCTCCTCCTTGTTTGGTCCAGTCTTCTCCCTCCCCCACCCCTGAACCAGGCTGTATCGCCTGTATGATCACACCTGTCAAGGACTGGGCTGGGCTCCCCCATCCCTGGCATGTACTAAGTTGTATGGCTCCATATGGACTAGTCCCTTCTTCTCTGTATTGACCAGATTCCCTTGTCATCCCTGCATGGACTGGGCTGAATTGCCACATGTGCACCAGTGATTGAACTGCAACTCTTTGCTGATATGGACCTTTCT